ATTCTTGAACATACTCATAGGTGCGAAGCAACTTCAGCTTTCCGCTACTTTCTCGAGAGCCTCTCTTAATGTTTTTCATTTTCGAAATTAATTATTCGAATAAATACAAGATCATATACATTCAATCGTTCATACGTATGATATCCATCTCATTATTTTTAAAAAGTTTTTCAATTATAAATGAGGTTTAAAAAACTTAATCTCAATACAGGAAGTGTTTTTGTATCTTGAACAATTCAGTAAAAATATCGACATAAATCATGCCTCCTTCAAAAACATATCACTGCAGTTCTGGTAAAACTTAGTGCGTCAAAGCATGCGGTGAACCACTGGCATCTGTTGACATTGATCCTGAGCAGGCGCAGATTATCAACGATGCCGCATGAATTTTTTCGGTCCGAAAAAGTGCCCCACTGTTTTTAAGAGTACTATTTAAGCACTGTTTTAAGCGCACGACCAGTGCTGATAAAAACCTCTTTTTCGTGGAGAATAGATGACCATGGTGAAATTTTCATAAAACGACGCCTTACCGAAAGAATATGTTATTCCGACGCGTTCACCCGTGACCGAATTTATTACCTCTTTCGAAGACAATCAAGAAATAACCCATAATCTATCAACCATGAGAAAAAAATGGCGTTTTAGGTTGTAACATTGATATTTCATCTCACCTAAATTTACATTCTGTAGCCTCCACCCGCATCCTGGAGCTCCTATCGTTGCTTCGCGTCACTACTAATCCCGTGCTGTTGCTTCAAAGCAAAATTATTTATTATTTTAGAGAATGAAGGCACATAGCCGTTTTCAGTGCAGTATCAAACAAATCAAGATAAACTTGAAAGTGTTTTTTTCGCTACTATAAAAGAAAGTGTTTTGAAAGTGTTTTGAGCGCTACTATAAATGTATCTTACTACTTTAATCCAGTGGCTGATTGCCCTTATATGTTCTTCGAAATGAAGAATTCAGCAGTGCCTGCTGCCAGCCAGCTAGGGGAAGACCAAGCTTCGATAGATGGCGTTACTGTCGAAGTGACAAAACAAGCAACTACCTATCACTAATGGATAACGGAATGCGTGCAAACATAGAGACCATGTTGGTGTGATAGATGAATAGCAAAAATTCGAATGTTTTGGGGGATCAAATTTGCGGCAACCCTCAAAGGGGCGATGGGAGCTCCAGCAAATATCTGATAAAATTGTGCATACACTAATAGCTGCTCTTATGTCGTTTGCATCACCCCAAACAACAAAATATGGTCGAGCTAGCGTAACCTAGGTTAAAGGAAACTAGCTGCACCTAGGCAACTGCATCCTTTAATCTAGGTTACACTAATTTCAAAAAAAAAATTTTCCGCTGAACTTTCCATCTCGAGCACAGATGTCTTTTTAATTTAATATATTATCATCCTTCTATTCTTTGTAAGATAAATCAAGAATAAACACAGGGCCAAAACGAAAAAAATTAAAGCAATTATAAGCTGTGCTATGTGCGACTTCTTTCCTCTTCCTCCCTATTCATTAGTAATGATTATACAAATCAACCAACATATTCTTTCACGCCATTTCGTTCTCTTTCCATGCAATTATTAACTCAAGTCTAAATGTTTAGTTTGGCACTAACATACGTCTGTGAACTGTAGAGATATGTGAGAACTAAGGCAAAACATGAAATGATATCAAATGGCAGATGAAAAAAACACGAACGAATGAATGTTACAACTATCGTTTTTTTTTCTGTTCCGTTTCTTTTTTTTCCTCGATTGTTCCCGTCAGTTTTTTTTTCCTATTCGGGATATATAAAAAAAAAATGCAATTCCGTCGTCCGCGGATAGGTCGTTTCTATCGCCAACTTGATCTATATTTTTTTTCCTTTTCGAGAATTTATCGCCATAATTTAACCTATCAACATATGTAGAGAGTGTGGGGTAGTAAACTTGACATGCATGTCATATACGCAAAAAATAGACCTTTTTCTTTCGTCTTTCACGTTGAAGAAAAAAATGAACCTAATGCCTTCATTGTTATCTTCAATTCTGTGTTTGTATAACCGCCCACATCGCATTTAGAGAGTGCTGAAATATAAACTAGAGAAATGGAAACTATTTAGTAGACAGCTTGCAAATTTTTTTTTTATGCTATGTTTTCTTCCTTTCAATCGGACGGCCGCGCATGATGTAATGTATAGAAAGAGAACACAAAGTGAGATGTAGTCATGCAACGAAAGTTTGAAAAATTCACGCACACATTTTCTTTAATTATTTTTCGTCATTCGTCGTTTTCATACATATGCAAGCATTCGGATACGCATCAGCAGTAACGATGAGAGAAATAAAAGTACACCGTTTATCTGTTCTATTTGCTCACGCGTTTTTTTCACTGGTTCACGACGAGTTTAATGTACTTGTCACGAGAACAGCGATGTGTATATTTTGTAGTTTGTAACATCGTATTGAGCATGGGCTTGTAAAGCGTAGGTATGTGCTTGTGATAATTGTATCATATTATGTAATTAGTATAAGAAGAAGTTTAGAAACTCAGTTTACATCTGCATCTGATTTTAATTTCGTTTTCTCGGCATATGATTGTGTTTTCATTTCCAAAAATTGTGTACACAAATATTTGTACACGCGCTAGCGATTGGTATAGGCTGAGATGTACGTGTGGATATGCCTAATTAGGAGATCTAAACAGAGAGTAAAAGATCCGCATGGAAACCTTTTGGATTTCATTTTATTTCACTCATTCTGTGAAGTTACGGTCTAAGGTGTTTTGTATTTCATTGCGAATAAAAATGTACAGGTGTTTCCCCTTGTAACGATTGCTGAGTATATCATAATTAATTAGCCAAGATTATCGCAGTTTTTAAGTATCAGATACGAATGATCAAACGGGTGATGAAGATTGCGCAGTCAAACACTCACAGGAGGGGTAATCAAGATCACGTGGTCATTCCTGCAGTATGTACTATTGCATACCCTTTAGATCAGGTGCGTGAGACGTTTTCGTAGAACCTTTTTAGACAATGTGTCAAAAAGATGATCTGTTTGTGCCATTGATTTGCTCTACGATGAGTCATATTGAAGCGAATCATCACTGGCATTACTACGTTGCTACATTCTTAAGGTAAGTACATTAGGCATGTGATTATTACTCATTGGGTAGACTTGAACTAAAAGAAGCAAATGCGCTACTATCTGTTCCTTTTTTTCATAAATGATGTGATATATTTACAAATATCATCTTGTGAATCAAGTAAAGTTGTCTAATAAAAGTAAGTTTGATGCAATCAAAACCTGTGATGGATGACAGAAAGTTAAGACAAGCTTAGGTTTTTAAGTTATTGCATTATGATTTTTTATTGTTGTTAATTGGAAAAATATTTAACGTGCTCGACGTGTGACATGTGAATATAATATTCGTTTCTCCTAGATAGTTGATGAAAGATAATGACACTCAAAGAGACTAGCCGAAATGGTTAATTTGAATGTTTGTTTACTCTGAATTTTGATAATAGGGAAGCACAGCTTAGAATATTTGTTTATCCAGACTCAGTCCTTATTAGAAAGATTGAGTTTTCTGTTGTGATTTACTTAGCAAATACGTTACATAGATTTAATTTTAAATAAACGAATAGGTTTGACTAAGATTTGTTTGAACTGAATTTTAATTTCTTATTATATGATTAGGTTACTGAAAAGGTTTAGGTTAAACGGAAAGGATGTTTGTTCACCTGTCGCAACTCTCAAGGAACCTTTGTCACAAAAGTAGAATGTGAGAAAAAAATGATGTAGTAGTTTGTTTTCAGGCTGTTACTAATCGACATCGCACATATGTAACACATGCTCAATTTATGTTAAAACAGAACAGAATAGATTTAGACATTAGGCTGATATGGGATAAAACGCATTGATAGAGAATCACGTAATTCTTTTTATAATTTTATCGTTCAAAAAAATGTGTAACTATTAGCTTTTCTCTATAACCTCTGAATTTGTTATAGTTAGTCAGTTATTTAACGGATCTCAGTATAAAACTTATATTACTTTTTATAACGAATTGCCATTCATTTCTCATCAAAAAGGACATTTACAAAAGAACAAAAAAGACTACTTATAAATATGTAGAGGCTATTCACTAAATTCAATTGAAAAAAGAATAGAGATACTGGTGTCAGGCTGTGAGTATAGTTTCCACTACTATGAAATGTATTTTCCCCTTCGTAGTAAAAGACAAGTGTAGTTTTGCGTACAAAGAATGACTATATTGAAATCTGGCGAATCTGGTCTTTCTACTCAATACATTTGAAAAAAAACAGTACTGTGTTTTTCTCGTTTGAAAATTTTGAACTAGTTATAAGAATTGTAGAGCATCGTGCATGACTAACTGTTTTTCGAAATTGGTCATTTTGGACAGAAAGCACACTCGTTATGCTTCTTTTAGAGAAATGGCAGAGAATTCTTTTAAATGAATAATAAGTATAGCAAATGAAAAGTGGAAAAGTTATGCCACATATACTGAGATCGATATTCTTCATGCCACATCCGTTATAATTAAATATACGTTTATTCTACTTTATTCTCGAGATCTATGCGTGGAATCAGTTTATCGTTTCTTATAGCGGAAAGTGTAACTGTTGAAAAAGGTTGGTTTGTACCTTCGAATCATAGTTTTCCTTGTTGTCCTTTAAGTCATAGTCATTAATCACTACATCGAATATCTATGACTAAAGAGAGATAACGTAGTGATCAACGAATTGGCGCGTTTTGTTGCTTGTAGATATATGGCTGAATATTGAACACACATGGATTTTGCTCGTCAAACACATAATGAACTCTGACTCTTATAAATCATCTGTTTCCAAAGCGCTATGAGAAAAACTTCGACATTAACAAATTCGATTTAAGACATCCTGATTGTTGCATTTTTCAAATTGAAGTAAGAGGTAGGTTTAGTTAATATTAAAAGCAGCATCTGTACTTTTTACTGTTTTAGATAAATAAAATGATTAAATCGGAAGTTCGAAATTCTGATCAGAGTTCTTCGAACCAACAGGCTACAATCGTTCGAACATTCCCTGCAACTGCTGTTAACACAACTGCACCATCGAATTCATATTCTGCTAATAGTCGAACATGCCAACAAATATCGAATCTGAAGCGACGATTTGACGATCCAAACGCAATTGATTTACATTCTAGAAAGGGGCGTTTCGCTTGGACACAAATTCATAATAATTGGTTTTTACCTATTCTAACCAGGTATTTACTGAAACTATAATACATCATTTCGATCATTTTTTTGCATGCCAAGTCATTTTTGCTTTCAGTGCTTTCTATTCCGATGCACCTTTAGTATCTAAAATTCAAAGTCTGCGGTCGTTTTAAAATCGTGAAAAGGCTTTATTCGCACTACAGAACTTAAGTTCGAATAGGATGCTCAAGTTATATTAAGTGACAATTTTCATGCCACTTACGTGTGAAAAAGGCATCATCCTGACGAAGTACTCAACTACAGGATTACTTGAATTGTGAGTTGGGTTTCAAGTTTTTTTAGAAAGCAATATTTGCCTAACATAATTTGTTGAGTTAGAAATAATGATTAACCTCACAAGAGTAAAGATGAGCTCAAAGACTTTTAAATAGGTGGTATAGAAAATTGAAAAAAATTCTTGAAAGAGAGAAATCCTGCATAGGATTGTGGTTTAAGTCACTAGTGGTCGCTTCTTCTTAATTCAGACGTAAGTATGAAGAAAGTGTAGTGTGAACAAGTGTGTGGCCTAATTTATCAGGGTTATAATTCATCTCCAACTAACGAGATTCCTACTGTATAATGTTCAAGAAAGGTTTCTGTTTAATTCTTGGTCAAAAATCCGGTTTATTGTACTCGGATTGCTCTGTCTATGTAATTGGTGTGCGTATAAGGATCAAAACGTCGGAACGCAGCTTTTACTGTACTAGTTCTGAACTGTGAAAGTATAAAAGCATATTTTTCAGTGCTGTTACCTAGCGTCATCTGTTTCTCTCACAGTAGTCTCACAGTACTTATTCAACACTCAAATTTAAGCTGTATTTAACGCTCCTCTAAGACTTTAGACAACATTTGTTGTCAAAGTAACAGCTGTTACTGAATCGAAAAGGTCATAATAAAATCTTGCGATTAAGTAACTGCTGATAAATGAGCTCAGAATTTCCTGAAGTTGTATCTCAAAAATGTACAAAAGACGTTATTGGCCAAACATTTCCGAAAATCCATTGGTCGCATTACTAGGAATTTAATTTGGTTCTGTAACTACTTTGTTTATTTAAGTTAAGAAAGTTAAATAAAATTGATGCCGCAAGATATCGAAAAAATCTATAAAGCTGAATAGAGCGTCTTTTATTTTTGTCTATTCTGTTTTGTAATGGGAGACAGTCTGAATGTTGGTGTAAGTCATACAAGATATTGTTATGTTTTTAGGAGTGATAATGAGAAGTACTTGTGTGTAAGAATGGTTCGCTCAAAGGTATTATCTCACTATCCCAATGAAATATTTCGTCATTGTATCCAACAACATCCACTAGAATGTTATCCCGTAACAATTTATGAAGCTGAATTGTTGAATAAAATCAATTCTCATCATTCCTATTATGAATATGGTCAAACATTGTTCAATACTAGTGATCAATTAACGAAATTAAACGCGTTTAAAACATTTTATGATTATTTAAGAAAAACTATTACATCCCCTTTATCATTGTCACTATCCACGTCACCATCAACATCCCCTACAAATAATAGTAGTCGACAACAACAATCACACCCACGTCATCCAATTCTATCTGCTCATTCACAATCACAACAATATCGACATGTAACGCAAAATGTGTCCACATTTAATAGCCCAATTCAAGTTCCGTCACAACAGCAAATGATTGATCCCTCACTGTCAGGTCATGCGAGGCCATGGCCAAGAATGCCACAATATCCACAGCTAAATAATATTGAATCGAAGGTGCCACAATCACCTTCTCTTCCATCCTCCTCCTCCTCCACACAATCTTTTCATCGACAAGTGGCACCATTTAATTTCCAGCAACAGCAAACAAATGGAATAACGATACCTTCTGTCACTGAACAAGTGAGACAAGCTTTTACATCGAATAATTCACAAGCAATTGCAAACATGACCCTAGCGGCACAATCACAACGACCGAATTTTGCTAATCATACACAAAGTCATTTTAGAGTCCCATTTCTACCACCACCTTCATCCTCAACACGAAGCGTTCAACCAAATCTACCAACAGGTAAAATAATTTATATAAAGTTTCATTTGTTTTTTGGAGCAGTAACTAGTTGAACAGCCGTGCAAATGAGTATTTACCACCAAACATTCTCTCTATTTTTTATTTAGCATTGGTTAATTCATCTACTTCTGGATCTCGATCAAATCCGCCAAATATGAACAAGAACAAAGATGGTACGAGAGGCACTCAAAATCAAACAAGTGAACAGTCACCTACAGCAACAACAATCTTAACGTCCCGTTTACACTGTGGTTGGCTCCAGATCAATAAACTTTATACACCCTATGTATCTAAAAGTTCGCTTAATCACTCAGAATATAGAATTCCCATCAATTTGTTATTATTTTATGATTTACTTAAACCAAATGATAGTGTTGAAACACAGCCAGGCACACAAGAAGAAATTGATTTAATTAATCAATTGTGCACAAAACAAAATATAAAACCATTCTCAACTGAAACAAAATTAATTGATTTATCATTATTTTATCGTGTTTGTTGTACTAAGGTTTTATTTGTCAAAGAGCTAACAACATCGGATCCAAGAACAGATATATGTAAAGAATGGCTCTCAGTTGTACAAATTAACGGTGGAATATGTCGCATTAGAAATTTAAGTACAATCAGTGAGCAAACAGTACCATATGTGGGAAATTATCTATTAAAAACATTTCAAATGAACAAACTATCATCGTACACAACAAAAAATCCGACAATGCATGAAACGGAATTTCTGAAATTAATCGTGTTTTTTAGTAACACTAAAATGAATCTCAAAAATGTTCTTCTGATCGATATTGAATCAGTGAGAAAAGAATATGTTGTTGATATTATATTACCGTTCAATGATAAATTTCCAACCAATATTTTAAATTATCAACAAGGTACAGTTATGAGCAGAGTAGTTTTAGAATTAATGAACGGACTGTACTAAAACTTATTGAGATGAGTAGAACTCCACAAAAAGGAACCTTACGTGAGATTATTTCATTGAATATTACAAAAAGTAAACTTGTCAGCTAAAAGAAAGGTTAGCTAACACTCAACATCAGTAGTAGCGCTCGGTCAAGTTACAGAAGTAACTGATATTTTGTTTTCCACATGTTTTTCACTGGAAAAAAGACAGGAACACATGTCCTGATAAATTTAAGTGCAGTTGCTAATCATCATTTGCAAACAACAATAACGCCAGTTTTTCTAGGAAGTATACGAACATCAGAAAAAGTGGCACATTCGACGTCGACATCGCCTCCCATGGCAATTCAAAATAGAGTAAGTTTTATTTTTATACATGTTTCTGTCGTTAAATGACCGTTGTCCTTTTGTTAGGGTGAAAACGACATTCCTCCACCTCCTCCCACACCGCCACCTAGTCCTCCTTCTCCGATTGTACCTGTCGCGGAGAAATTGAATGAAAACGTCGTGCAACAAACAACAAGACGCTCAAACGATCATGTACAGCAGCCAATCAAAACGCTGAGTGAAACTCTAAATGAACCATCGAGATGGTCAAATGATAACAATATTACATCTTCAATAAAAACCGCAACTGATAATCAAGCTCAACAACAAGACCGATATAACCGAACAACTGTTTTTCGCGGACATGAAATGTGCGCTTATATATGTACAGCGCAGGGCTCGTCAAATTCACGCGAATGTTTATCGTTACAAGCCATATGTCAAACATTATTTCCTGGTGGTGACATGGACAAGTTGACACGTTCGTTAAGACATAAAGGTATCAATCGATTTCGTCCTCAAGATCCAGACGTTGGTGAAATACGTTTAGTGGATATCAAAGATTTAGAAGCGCATTGGGATTATATTGAAGAAGTGATGTCAAGCAAACCAAATGGTAAGATTATTACCTCAAAAGAATTTTATGATTGCGATCAACGTGTTTTAGACGATGATGATGTTGAAATAATTGCATGCGTTAACGCATCGTTATTTCGTTCAAAAACTACACCATCAGTCACATCAAGCACCAGTCATGGCACATCAGATGATTTATCGTTATCTAGATTGTTAGATCGCCGATTATCATCAATTAAAGCAAGTTCACCTCATCCAACTAATACTTCCGAATCAGATATGTTGAATGTTGGAGAACCATTTATGACAACGAAGCCAATTCAATCTGATCTTCCTATAGTAGAAAATATTCAAACTCAAAATGACTTTGGGATTGATGACTCAAATCATCAGCATCGTATTGTGGAACAGACAGTTCAAAAGGAACCAGTCGGCGAACAGTTAATTCTGAATAGTGTGATTCCGAATGAGGATACGGAGATAGAGCAACAACAGAACCCTTTAAATACAAACATAAGTGAAAAACGACGATGTTCAGAAGAAACAAACATACTAGACACATTGTCTTCGTTGGGTGGAACTACAGATAAGAAATATAACTGTTTAAGCTTCCAGAAAAGAGTGCGGTTTGGAGAACCATCGGAAAATAATAATAATAGTGGACAACATCAAGAAAAAGAACAGCAAATTATCGAAACAACTTCACAAACACAAGAAGAAAATCTCCGAGAGAATAATAATGTGGATGTGAATAAGACAACAACAACAACAACAACAACAACGAATAACCATGAACTAAACGTAAATACGATGACCAAAACAAATGGTGAAGAATCGTCTGATGAGAGTATTGGAAAAATAAAACGTCGTTCAACGAAAAAACATGAAGATAAAACTTATTTTGGTATAGTGGAAGACGGCGACGATGATAGTAACGACAGTAGTGGTAGTAGTTCAAGCTCAGATTATGAAATGTTTAATAGTGCTTCAAGAAAACGAAAAGTTGCATTGAAACAGTACCAGCAAAGACGGCGGAGCACACGTACAATAATGTCAAAGAACAATGAACAAACAAGAAAATATTCACAACGTGCAAAAAGAAACATTTTAAGAACAACAACATCTAGTACCAAACGATTAAAAACAACTGGACCTGCTAAATGGGCAATCAAATTTAATGTGTCACCATGTACTGTTCTGTTAGATTATTATGATCCTGTGTATGAAACTTGAAAAAGTTTCCCTTTTTTCATTGTTCTTTCTCTCTGTTGTTCTATTCTATTTGTAGTTTTTCGATGTTGTCTTTACTTATTTGTGTCGGCCTATTTTTTGCGTTCTTAACTGCTCTCCACTTAAGATGAACTATTTTCTCTGTTTTTGTGTAACAATTGTCTACCACGTAGACTAATGTCATATATACATACGATGCAAATTAAGTTTTTTTTACCACATTTACAGTTGCTTTTTTGTTTTTTTTTGAAAAAAAGTAGACAGGAGAAGCGCTACATGTTTGTACTGATATAGCAGGTTTTCAGTCATCTTGTAAGAACTGTAAGAGCAGAGTGCACTATGCAGCTTTGCGGTTTACTGCTTGAATCTAGTTTTTAATTTCAATTAACTATTACTAACAGATATCGCGAGTTTTATAGATATTTTTGCTTTATCACCAGAGAACTAAAAATTTGTTGAGCTTTCGAGGTGGAGATAATTCATACTTACTTGCAATCATGCAGCTTATTTCTTCTTCTTCGACATAAGATACTGTTGATTATATTACTTTTAGATAATGAAAATATTGAATTTCAAGGGTTTGAATCTGGAGTCAATCAAGTAATTTCTCATTTGTTTACAATTTTATCGATTTCAATAACATAATTTGATGATACTCAATTACAATCCTGTGTTTGTTGTTCGACTTAGTCCTTTTTTTCAATATCATTGAATTTATTGGATTTCACATTGGACTTTGTTTATCATCTATCTACTAAGTGAGCAATTTCTGGCAAATACAATCTGGGTGACAAATTTTGTAGGCGCACCATTAGTAAGAAAAATTCATCAAAACAAAAATACGGCATGTTTTTGTTTAATTACTCTTCTACGATAGTAAATAAGTGAATTTTAAATATTGGTAGAAAGTTATTTGTTGTTATTCTGTTTCATTGAAATTGAATTGTTGCGAATGTCATAGTCGATGTGCTTACGACTTCAAAACTGAAATAATTATAACTGTAACATGTCTCCTTTGGGCAAGAAAACATCAAAATTAATTTGAATTCTGAGTAATGGATTGAATATTTACAACTTAACGAATCAGAATATGGTGAAAAAACGTTTCTTTTATTGCAAGATGATGGTCAATGTTTAAAAAAGTAAGAACGTGTTAATTAATGGATATGTCGCTAGTTTCGATACAAAACTATGATGTTTAGCGCCACAGTAGATATGTAAATTTTAATGTTGGATTGACATTCCTGTAGATGTCGTGATGAAAATGTTTTCACTATGACGCACGTAAATCGGATTTTTGTGAAATAATCGCTGGACTATGTAGGAGTATTGGTCAGTCACTTATGTACAAGTTATTTCCAACAATGTGGTGAACACTAGAAACGTTAGTTGTGTTTTGTTTTTGGTCGCTTTTAACAACAAGATGACAGTCAAGCATATAGTAACCACGTCAGAATTAAATACAGCTTGAAATACAATGCTTTTCATTCCCGTTCAAAAATAAACTTGAATAGATCATTCGCAAGAGGTCGTATGAATTATGGATAACTGTTACCTTACAGTTTGTTGCTGTTTTCTAATTGTTGCTAGAGGCCTTGTTGTAGGCACATGATAATTATTCTTTTAATATTTCTCTGGCGAATAATTTATGAAAAGATTCCTTGAAGTGTGTTACAATGCCTCCAAATTGGCAAAAAATCAATTGGCAAAACGATATTACTCACTAATACTTATAATTCATTTATTAACAACACAGAAGTGCGCCAAAAGATTGTTTGCTGTTGAAGAAATATCAACATGGGCGTTTCAAATTCCTAAATAAATTGCAGACTCATTAACTTAATACGTTAGCGCCATTTTAATCCGGATCTACAGGAATGTTTTGCAAACAGTGTCATAGGATAAATTACAAAATTGGCCTCGACTGCGTCAAAATTTTGAAAAGTTCAGGTCATTCTCACCGTGCCAAAATGAAGTTTTAAAGCCAAAAACGATGTTCTCTTTGATCGGATTTGCATATGCAAAAATCAATTTACTGTAAAAGTTCGAAGTAAGTGACATCATTAACTTTAGCACGTTTCCATGTCATAAAATATCGCCTAACTTTTGCCGATTAATCGCGATTTTTCTGCTGGGTTTCCATAGTGACGAGCCAAAAAAATCGGCGGTTTTTGGCTCGTCACTATGGAAACCCAGCAGAAAAATCGCGATTAATCGGCAAAAGTTAGCTGATTTTGATGGGTTAAAAGCATTTTCGAATGTTACTCGGCAAAGCATCAACGTCAGCAGATCAATCCAGTTCATAGTAACGGTAGCGACATCTATCGATTGCTTTCAAAATTTCTTTTCTCAAATCACACTCGAAATCAAGTTTTCTGAAAAGGTTTTCAAATTGTGTCTTTAAAACATTTCTCTGGAAAATATAGTGAAATAAGATCAGAGTCCTGAACCATTCAGTGGGTTAGAATTTTGGTACTGCTCTAGTATATTTCCAAATGGTAACAGTACTACGGAGTTAGGATCAAATAATAATTGCTCATATTTATATACAATACTTAAAACGTAATTATATGATTCAGAAAAACGTATAATTTCGGCGTCGGTAACAAATCTATTGCTCTAAATTCCTGATATAATTTATATACAACAGCGATTGTAAGATTACACGAACAAGCTAAGAACATTACAACAAAGCGATGAAAAATCATTAGAACTATTAATAAAATAGGACAATAATCAAGAGTTCAGTTTTATAACTTAGATCAATTGATTATATCACAATTATATTGCCAATTGAAGTAAAAACGCAACAAATTTATGAATCAATTAATTAGTAGTAAATATACTCAACTTGATCGAGAGCAACAACTGACTTCTGTACAAAAACCTGCAACAGAAGCAGAGAGCTGAAGAAACAGTGAATGCTATTATCAAGAGTTGAAAACACAGAAGGAATATTTGATATGCATGTTGCAAATCTTGTGTTCGCTCTGACAAATAGTTTCCAACAACATGATGTCAATAGTGTAAGCAATCGAATTAATCACTAGCAATACTCTAAATAATATCAACAGAATTGGTTCAGGGACATAAGTACTGTTTATATGTTCACCAAAAATTTTAAAAGTCACATCACTTTCAATACAAAATACAAGATTAACAACAACTTCATGTCATCCGCATAATAGGAAAGAAAATCCCAAGGTGGGCACTTTTAACATGTCATGCGGACATGTGATTTTTTTTCATCAGAATCGCTTCTTTTGCTTAGAAAATTATTATCTATCTCCCAGAGAATTGCCTTCAAGCAAAAAAAACGTTTTTTGAAAAATCATTCGATGCAGTTTCGCACGCTGATTCGGAATATCACCTTAGTTTTTCTTTAAAATGTTTCAGGGCAGTAAGCAATGGCTTTTATCTGAAAAACCGAAGTTTTTTTGAAAATCCCATACCGAAGTTGGAAAACGTTTGCGCTAATACTACAGGTATACGGTATGCAAAGGAATGTTCTATGAACGTTTGAGTCAGTTTGGAGGTGGGGGGAATGATGGTTATACCGACGATAACGGTTCTGAAACACTGTTAGCTCCGAAACTAAGTCTTTTTCTCCGGACGTTTAAGTCTAAAACAAAAGTCATCAAGCGATAGCCGGACGTTTCTATCATATTCTGATTGTCTTCAGTTGTAGATATGCAAATTTTATGAAAAAAACATGTTTACCGTACATATTTGTTTTTAGCCCTATTTTTGTATAAGCGTTTTTCGTCGAACCTTAGTAGTGAAACAAAAATTCTTTCGCTATTAAATAGCCCGTCAATCATAGTATATCAATCAGCGGTTTTGAGCAGAACGCATAATAGATTTTTTCCATGGCGGATGAGTAATTTTTTTGCTCAATATCCTACAAAGAAGTTTTGATGTCACATTTGCAAAAAAGTTTCCGCATCAGGAATGCCCATTGTATGCTATGTTTCATGTACATCAAGAAAAACCGATGAGCGCGCGTACCACCTCGATACCATTCTCTGATTTGCTGAAAAAGTGTTGTATTGATAGAAATCAATGCCGCACTTATTTTTTGCTAGTGTGGCATGGGCATGATAGTCATCGGGTCCACTAGTGCCGACGCTTCCTTCATCAGAAGAGACATCTGAAGTGGAAAACTTCGAAGAAAATCAAAATTAGTCATGCATCTTATATAGTATAGTTGATTGCGAAACAAATGTGACTAGTAAAATCACATTGATCCGCATCAGTGCCGAAGCAACAGATGCAAACGCACATCATCAGATACATTGGTTCGCATTGATACCGAATTGATACGAAAAAATAAAGAAAGAAACTACAGGGATGTGCACTGATGCTGAAAAATTTATAATTTCTGCACCGATGAGCACAGTAATACCATTAAAAGAATTTTTCGACTTTTTGTATGTTGAATATTTTGAAACTAATATTATTTTCTCATGGAAATTGTTTTCGCCATTTCGAACTTTTGACAATATCCTTAGACTAAAATAATAATGCTCGGAGTTATCGGGACTAACCCAATGAATTTTTTTAATACAAAAAATTTCCTTTGAATGCACACTGAAATCGACATTTTGTACCTTTTATTGTTGTTTTTCTTTTTTGTTTCTACACAATCAGACATACTGTTAAAAGCTTAGAGACTTTCTCTGAAACTGACGCTTTCTATTGCTATGGGCATACATGAATGCATTCAAATTCGTTAAAATTTAATGTATTTTTTTGAATTAAACAAGTTTAAGGGGGGCGCGCGCGCGCGCCGGCCGGGGAGGGGGNGCTGAAATTTTTACAGGAGGTGTATTTCGGGCTATTTATATTTCACAGTGAAAATTCCAGCTCGAAATATTGAGCCTTCCTCAAGATACCTTAAGATTAAGGGTGAAAAGTGAGCTTCGCCGTTTCCCAAATTTCTCTGCCATTTCAAATGCTAGAGAGCTCGGGTTGGTTTTAAAAATGTAGCCCAGATCCGGGGC